GAGATTGGCTTACCTTTTCATCTCTGGTTTTATTAATGAGCCCTAATTATAGTCGCTGCAGAATAAATGATGGGTGAACTGCTGCTCACTTTTGCTCTCCCGCTCACACGTCCCCACTTCTGACACGAGTTTCTACCATATTGTATCCCTCGTCACTCCGTCTCCCTCCCGCCCCTCCATCTGCGCTGAAAAGCTCTTTTGTTCAATTTTTAATTACCTTCTCATTTAAAAGTGCTCTTGACATCCGAACGCAGCACGTTTGGAGAGGCCGCCTCTGTGATTGGTGCGAAATTGGATAACCGCCTTTTTGTATCCCTGTCAATCTTCTTTCTGAGATCAGACCTTTCACTTCACAGCGGCACATGCACCGCACTCGCTGCAGTGAGCGCTGAAAGACAAAATATTTAACGTGTCAACAAACAACCGTTTCTCCTGTTTGCATCATCTTTATTTGTTTTAGTGGAGTTGTGTTCCCTCATTTTTTGGCTCGACAAAAGGGAGCAAAAATAACACAATATGGTGTTAAGATCATTGTCAAATATCTACACACGTAGTCGTGGTCCCTGGTCATGTTTTCACCTTGATTCTCATGTTTGTATCTCCTTTCTAGTTTTGAATTGAATACATTTTTAAGGATTCAAGACACAAACATTGATGTATACTGCATTACAACTGTAGTCTGTAGGAGGTATTTTCTCTATATGTTTTAGATATGTCTTTGCAATCACTTGAAGTTTCAGGCTGGTGAATTACTGCTAAATTATTCTGGTGCAACAGTTTAGAAAAGGTCGTGAAAACAGATGTCAAAGCAGATGAACTGAATATATCTATAATAAACATGCTTTGCTTTAAATATCTGGAGTAACCATTAAAATGCTCTATATTCTTGAGATTCATTTTTTTCTTTTTACCTATGCACGTTACCTCTGCAAATCCAACAATACTGCTACTAACACAGATTAGACATTTTGTTGTCTTCACTCAATGGTTTTAATGGACTTAGCTAATAAAAATGCTTTCATTTAGCGTGGAGTTGTTTTTGTTGAGGAATATATATGTCTACAAAGTGTTCCGCAGATGTGATGCATCTCCTCTGCATTGAAAAACTGATGTCCTGCTGCACTTTTACACTTATTGCATTGTGCTCATGTGAGAGAGTGGTTTAATTTCAGCTCGTATACGGCTGCTGAGGGAATCCTCTCCCTCCCGGCTCTGTGCGATTAATTTCGGCTGATCCATGTTTATGGAGGGAAACACTCATAAGCACCAAATCAGCAGAGGACACACATCACACTTGCAGAGGGTGAAGCTGTGCTCATATTAAGTTTCTCGTGCAGTGTTTGCTGAGATATAAGTTCTGTCATGTGCATTGATGTCTTATGGTGTGCAATTTTAAGCATTGCATGAGCTGATCTGATCTGAAGGCTGGAAGAGGTTAAATGTGAATTTATTTTGGAGCGAAGCACAGAAAATATTTTCTTCTCGGCCTCTTTAGTGTGTTCCAACTGGATAAGAGAGCAGGCGGCCTTTCCTGAGGTGTGACACAGACGGGCATCTATGATATCTGCCATGTAGAGCTAACGGCTAACACAGATACTAGAGGAGCTGGTGATGCATATAAGCCAGTGTGTGTCACAATCAGCCCCATCTTCCCCTTTTGAGAAACTTCTAACAATGCTGGTCTTGGCTGGTGTTTTGTACATGTCTGCACCACTATATTATTCTTGCTGTTTCACAACCAATCCAACAGTGAACAATAGTGAGCGGAGACTGTTTTGTCTTGGCAGGACTCATATCAGGTTATTGCCCCACTTTTTTATTTTTGAGATACTTTATCTCTCGTGAGAAAGAGCCTTTATAAACATCCCTCTTATCAGCGCCTGTGCTGGCCCTTGGTGTCTTATCTCTTATCAGGCCATGCTCCTCATTGGATGTCACAATACACAGGACGCTTGCTGTTTGCCAGGCCTCCTCATGACTGGACTGCTTCTTTGAAGAAAACCAGAGAACCAGGAAATATTTTTCTTAAATCAAAGCGGCTGCAGAGGTGTGAGGCATGAGACATGTGATTCTTTTTGTAAAGCTGAAGAGAGGAGGGGGGGAAGAGGGATTTTGGGTGATTTACGGCTCTAAATGTCCCCTGTTCTGTGACGGTGCCAGGAGTTCAATATCTGTATCATTTAGGGATGTGGGACTCGTAAGGAAAGGTCAGTGAGCCTCTCGGCTTCAGGAAGTGTGGAGTTTTATTTCTCTGCCTCCTCACGATGCTGCTGTGACTGTTGTGCTTTGTTCTAGGGGGAGAATAAAAAGAGCATGATTGCTATTGACTCTTTGTAGCAGGACCTCAGAGACTGAGCTCTAATCCTGGCACTCACTATTTCAGAAGTTAGACAGAGACAAGAAAAACTGTAGTTGTTTAAACACTTTAATGAGGTCAGCCTGTCTTACATCTTCTATTCTGTTGTCACTTTGGCCGTTTGTGTTTCATCTTCTTCACGCAGTCTTCTTCTTCCTCTCCTCAGGTGGAGTGGCTAAAGAACGAAGAGGTTATTGATCCCGCCGACGACAGAAACTTCTACATCACCATTGACCACAACCTGATCATCAAGCAGGCGCGTCTCTCCGACACGGCCAACTACACCTGTGTGGCGAAGAACATTGTGGCCAAGAGACGCAGCACCACCGCCACAGTTATTGTCTACGGTAAAATATAAAATCACACTGAACATCCAGGTCTCACATCTCATGACCCAGAAAAAACACTCATCCTCCTTATTGGCCACATGAGAGATTAGCAGTCGGCTCAACTTCGAATGAAACATATTTCAAAGTCACTCTGCATAAAGTGAACCCCTCTCTCTCTCTCTCTCCCCTGGCTGGCAACATCGCCTCATTCTGTTCCTGCCGGAAGGTGTGCGAACAAGTTGGAGATTTGTGATTTTTCTGAAACGCTAGCAAGGTGCTGATGTGGCTGAGCCGTACTTAAAGGCACCCCTGCTGTGTATTCACACAGACTCACCCACTGTCTCCCAACATAAACCAAACACGACTGTCATTGCGCTGCACAGCTGTGAAGTTAAAACTTCCACGTCTGCTGGAGGCTACTCGAGACAGGAGAAGTGACACATGAAACACATGCTCCTTTGAACCTGGGAGATTGTTTTCCTGTATGAAGCGACTACTTGTCTTTAAGGTTCAGTAACTGAGGCTGCCGTGGAGTTCGTCCTGCACGTGATAGGACACCTCATGATACTGCAGATTTACTTTTTGAGGGTTTAAGTAATATCACAACCACATGGAGGTTTATGAGCAGCTCAGTCAGACTGAATGAAGTGAAAATACCTTGTTTTTTTTGTTAACGTTATAGTGGAACTTCACCAACCAATTGCCTCTCCCTGGATTTTCAAAGTGCTTTTAGAACGCAGTGCTGGGCGGCAGGGCTCAGACTTACCTACAGAGCCGTTTGAATTTCTGTGTGAGAGGATGGGAGACGTCTCTGGGATTTAGTTTTGGCATAGATTTGAAAATGAGCACAAATTTCCAGATTCCCACTAGCGGCCCATCTTTGAAAAACAAATATATATAAATATCATGATGTAGAGACGTCCCAAAATGTAAAGTCTACGTTTTTAACCCCTAAATGTCGATAAGATAGATAATGTGATTTTAAAACCAACATGTGTGTCATGAAAAACTGTCACATAATCTAGTTTACAGCTCAAAAAGTCTGCAATAGCACTTTAAGTTGGATTTAACTGAGCAATGAGGATAATGTGGCCATTTGGAAACCAATGTAAGAGTGATGTGTAGACACAGGTTGCACATTTAGGGAAAAGGATCTCTGTCTTCAAGGTTTTCCTGTCAGGAACACAGTCTATTTCAACTAAGTGTTAAAAAACCTGCTCTCATGTTGACTCATCTGTTTGTGCTGTCCTTGCTTCTTGATCCCCCTTTTACAAAATGGGACACTTATGTGCTGCTGAGCTGTATGTGAAAAAGCACATCCCCACAAAGCTGTATGAGAAGCCCAAAAGGATAAGTAAGAGTTGTGTCTAGCAATAAAACAGTGAGACAGATAGGCAGTGGTTTCCAGCCCGAGCCACTGCAAGGACACTGGAAACAGGAGCGCTAGCTGGCAACTAAAGGAGAAAAAGACATGGAAAGAGGGAGAGAAAAGATAGAGCCATAATCCATGGAGGAAAAGAGAGCAGACAGTAAGGAAGTGTGGGGGTTTTGGCGGTCTTCCCCATGAGTTCAATATTTCGGGCTTCACTCGTAAGCATGTCACATTTGAAAGTCAGAGGCTCTGGGGGGCCCCGGCTCCACCATCTCAAAATGCCACAGACTTGTTCTCAGCCACAAGCCCTGGTGTCACTCTCCACTGGATTTAGCCGCTGACAGAGATGGATGAGAGAGGAAGGGAGGCATTAGGAGGAATCAGTGAATGGAAAATGCGCAGCAATCGGACCAGAATTTACTGTCTGCCTGCATGGCACAGTAACGACCTGAGATTTCAGGGTCAAAACACAAAAAAATAAAATCCGCAGTGTATATTTAACAGTGGGTAAATGATTCAGATTACAGTTAACGATGTTCCAATAATTCTCACTAATGACAAAACAAACAAATGTTGTAATTTTATTCTGAGTGTTTATGCTTTCACTGCATTTTTATTTAATATTTCATTTGTTAAATGTCGTTTTGTGTTTTAATGTAGTCTATATTTTATATTTGCTTTATGCCCCTTCATTACTTTATAACTTGTTTTTTAAATCGTGCAATATAAGTGAAAGCTGAGAAAACATATAACATGTTTTATAACCATGTATTCCAGTGAATGGCGGATGGTCCACATGGACGGAGTGGTCGGTGTGTAACAGCCGCTGTGGCCGTGGTTACCAGAAACGCACACGCAGCTGTACCAACCCAGCGCCACTCAACGGCGGTGCCATCTGTGAGGGGCAAGGCATCCAGAAGCTGGCGTGCAACCCACTCTGCCCAGGTATGACACACAATTACAATCCACCCACTAGTCAGTGGGTAGAAAGAGGTTTGGGTGTACAAATACTGAATACACAAAAATATGATGCAACTCTGTGTTTGCATATTTCACTCTGTTTGTGCCTCCGCCTTTATGTGTCCCTCTCCCACGTATCCCTCGCCGTCTCGATCACGTGTCCTTGCACCCACTCCTGCACTCGATTGTCTTCATCTTCTCATTTGCCATTTCATTCACTCTGTCCTGGTCTGTCCTGTTTGTTGTGTGGTAGTGGATGGCCTGTGGACAGAGTGGAGTAAGTGGTCCACCTGTGGGACAGAGTGCACCCACTGGAGGAGGAGAGAATGCAACGCCCCGGCACCCAAAAACGGGGGGAAGGACTGTGAGGGCATGGTGCTCCAGTCCAAGAACTGCACCGATGGGCTGTGCATGCAGAGTGAGTACTCGACTAATCCTCTGCTACTCTCTCTGACCCGCCAACCAAAGAAATTTCTTTAGCCTTTGACCATGAGTTTCACTCGGCTCTTTCATCACCACGCTGTGTTTCACATCCCCACATAACACTTTCACCCCGTCTCTCACTCACTCTGTTTCACTTCACTCATACATAAACAATAAGACATGCTAAAATGCTTTCTCTCTGTCCTCTGCACTCGATCTGTTTCTCTTTATTTGCACATGCATAATACACAAAAGCTGCTGGATAAAAGTGACATAGAAGCAGAAACCACTGCACGTCTTTCCCTGTGTCAGCTTTGCTAAAAAATTTAAGCACATGTCAAAAGAAGACCAGGCCACAGAGGGAAACACTCTAAGTAGTTATCCACGTCATAAGCATTTGGGAGTTATTTTAAAAATAATAATAAGTGATTATGTTGTAATTACATAAGGGAGGTCACAGCTATCAAGCTGCTCTGATTACTACCTTAATTTTCAAACTGTGGATTCCTAAGGTCAAATGAGAGGAAACACAAAGCCACAGTGGCACAAGTGAAGACTTGCTCCTTTTCCTGAGCTGCCAATTACATGTTTTGTGGAAGTGAACATGTATTGTACATAATCATTTTAAGCAGTGTCTCCTGGTTGCAGCAGAATTTCTCTCCCGTAATAGAGAAATCACAATTCTTCTTCTGGATTTATTTGTTTTGTTGTTCATAACAAAAGAGCCAAAGCCAGTCTGAGGTGCTGCCAGATATTTTTCTGCAGGCGGCCGATTGTTTCTGCTTCTCTTTCTTCCATCAAGTTAAAAACAGCCTCTCAGTTCGGCCCACAGTCCTGCCCCTTCTCCCTTCTAACACATTCACAGATTGGAATCACGCTGCCTGTGTGCATTGCGTTTGTTTAGAATTTAAAGCAAAACTATTTGAAACACTTGAGCCTCATCTACTTATTTACGTATTCTGTCTTTGCCTTGGTGCCATTACAGGTTCTGTAATAACCAGAGAAAGAGTGAAATAGCTGAAAACACTGCACTGCATAGTAGCTGATTTATTCTCCATTCCTCTCCAATTAACATCTTTCAAGGTATTAGAGCCACACATAATCACAGATGCCTCCATTGTATGCATAACCTGCTGCAGATGGTGATTGTGACACTGACACTAACAATATAAAAGGGCTCTGCTGCTGGATGTCGACAATTTGATGCAGCTGGTTGTCACAATGTGCAGCTGATCTGAGCTTTCCTGCACTGTGAGGTTGTAAACTGCTACCTACAACATGTTGCTGACATGATGCACTCATTGGCAGTCGATATGCATCTCAAATGCAGCCGGCTGAAGGATCTGCATGCGTCTGTCCAAAGTGAATACGTTCTGCACTGTTCGCACACTGAGCACTGACAGGAAACTATGACTTCAGCGTGCAGTGATTTCATTCTTTATTCATCTTATTTTATTTCCCTCTGCGGCACAAGCATACATTCACTCCTCAGCGGCCCAGCCCCCGCTGCACACCCTCTGTAATTCAGCCTATCACAGAAGCATTACTTCTTGCTGGATTGATGGCCAGTTTGCAGAGAATATAAAGCCATAATGATATAGATTTAGGATCGTTTCAGAGATTGATTTTTTTTGGAAGCTAAGAGGGTGAAGCCACTTATGTCAATGCTAATGACCATTTCCACTAGCATTTAGGAGACTGGCCCATTATCTAAAAGCTCACATTATAGCAAATACGATTGGGAATGGAAGTTGTGTGCAATCTGAACTCACCTTGGACTGTTGAGCTGCTCCCTCCAGTGCCGCGCTGGGGTCTGAGCAAACACGTGTCCGTGGATTCCGTTGCAGCTTGATCTCATTTTCGGTTGTTTGAATTTATTTAAATCATCTCAATTGCAATCCATCTCTGAAATCTGGCGGAGGAATGTGATATGACGAGAGCTGGAAATAGAGCTCTTGGTGTTTCTCCGTTGCAGGCTTGCTGTAAAAACTCAGCCGACCCATGTCAAAAAGGAAAGAGTTGCATTGTAATTTACTTTGGAGCTTGTTCTTCGCATTTAGACGTTTGGGGTTGGATTTCACAAAGTTAAGTATCGACTGATTGATACGGAGAGCTTGCACTTTCACAACTCTGACACTTGCACTCCCTCTTTGATTCTGATGTTGTTTTCCAAGCATTTGGTAAGTTGCTCTTTCAGTCATGACATTGACGTATTGATCTGGACAAAGGAGCACGCACACTCCGGCGAAGAAAATCACGACTTAAGGGTCCACCTCAACAGGAAGTTACTAACAAGTGGTCAAAAAGATTCGATCGAATGCAGACTGAAAGTATCATCATTTTCAGTCGTATAGATTTGGAAGTAAATACCAAAATTAACTTGTAGCTCTTGAAATGATGACATCAGTCCTGCCAGACGACAGCGGATTCCCAGAGGTTGGATGTCTGCCATATTCAAATAATTTATGACTCAAACACAGACAGTGATTTCCTGAACGCATCCCCTTTCCTCCGAGGCCCCGCGCTGTCAGCACAGGAATCATTTTGTCTTTCTCTGAGGTTTCCTCTTTGCGGCCCACCCACTGAAGCATGCTTTTACCCCACTACACTGCAGAGGACTCGGCCAGGATGAACAGAAACTCTACAGGATGGGTTCAGACGGGCCATCAGTTAGACTGACCCTGACAGTCACCTCCCCCTGCTCCGGCCCGGCCTCCCTGTTGCCTGATTACATGTACACACCAGCCCCATCTATCAAGCCATTGATTTTCCTGTCGCTCCACTTGTCTGCCTGTGGCTCTCCCCCTCTCCAATAAGGACTTCATTGTTTGTATAGTTGTTTATGGATGTCCCAGGGAGACTGAATATTATGTGTACTATAGTGCGCCATCCCTGGCTGCCGTTGGAGCCCACTCTCCTCTTCAATTCAACATATTACCTGTCCAAAACAAAACCAAGCTCAGCCCCATTTACGCCTCAAAAGCATTTTCTTCCCAAATCTGTGTCCTTTTTTCCATCCCTTTCTTTCCTAACATAATTGTTCCTTTTATTCCACGCACCACCCTCTCCATCCGCCTTCGAGTGACAGATGCAAGGCTGCATAGCTTCTATTGACTCTGCTGGAGCGCACACTTTATCAGCTCCTCCATTCCCCCTCACCTGCCAGCATCAGTCCTGCTGCTGCTGCTGCGGCGGAGGCACTAAGCCCAGTTGATGGATCACGCCACTCCCTCACAGAACCTCCATGTTCCCCCCCTGTCTTCTCATCCATCTCTATACGCTATGCACAGATCTGGAGAGGAGGGGGCCAAATCAAGAAAGATCACTTCCCCGTGTCATTACTCCTACTCATGAGTTTGTTGCTGTCTCATTTGTTGAGTTTGTTTTTCTGTTGGCTTAAATTTGATTTTCATCATCCGTCTCCCACCATCTCTCCCCTACTCTCTCTCTCTCCCTTCCAAATCCCTTCCTCTCCTCAAGGTTCCTTATATCAGAAGTCCTCAGAGGCAAAAGACAAGAGTGATTTGGGGAATTCATGTGAGTTGTTTTTTTTTTTTTAATCATTTGTTATTTTTCATAATTTTTTTCATTGATTCTCATCTTTGATTGTCTCCAATCTACGGCTTCATTTCATGTTTATCTAAAACATAAATCGTCATGTATTTTCCTTCTGTTATGCTATTTAAAGGTTTTTTTAACAGAAGGAAAATAAATTTTTCCGTTGTTCTTTCTTGTCCATGTATGTTTCATCACTGCCTCTTTTTTCTTTCGTATAACCACCTCAGTGGATTTTCTTTTTTAATTTCTGCTCTGCCCTCTCTCATTAAGTTTCCCTGCTAGCATGGCTGCTGCCTGATCACAGCCATGTTACCGCGCTGTAAGTCAGAACTGACACTGCCTTTTACCCTGTTGCTCCTCATGAACTTCATCCCGACGCTAGGCCTCGGTGTCAGCAAAGGCACCGAGTCCTGTGTCTCTGTATCTCCCTGCCTCGCTCTGTAAATCTCACAGAGAATGGAATGTTCAATAATCCCTTCCATTTCTATTTCTTGTACTTTTTTCCCTTCTCGACAATCGCTCATGTTCAAAGGGATGTATTAATCTAAGCGATACATTTTAATGCGTACACTTAGCAGGTTGCTGCCTTTATCATCAAAGTGTGGACGGGAGATTGTTCGACTGAGGCGGATATATGTTGAATATCTGCAGGGAAACTCGGCAGAGGGAGCACAATGAAATTACATTTCCTGACTTTCATCATTGGTCCCGAGCTCTGTTTTCTGCTGGTGTCTGTGCCGGAGGAGGGATTAGAGGGGTCGAACATATATGAGGATGTATCTTGACACTCCTCCTTAGTCTGATGTCTCTGTTAGGGCTGAATCTAGAACGCCCGGTCCACACACGTCTTTCCTGGGAGCTGAAGGGAAATAGTCTTTGAAATGACTGTGCAGCATTAAATCGCCCCCGCCCCATTTAACTGCGACCATTCAGTACATCTTAAATATAAGAGAGGATCTACTTTTTTAAATCACCATGTTTATAATGTCATTGTAAGGAAGGTCATACCCAATTTCAGCTCAGAGATTCTCTAAAAGCATGAAATGTAATGGATTTTAAACAGATGCACAGATAAAGCACATTTAAAAGCCTATTTACATGGAAAAATCGAGTCATAACCGGTGAAAAGGGAGAGTACACACTCACTATCTCAAGTGTGTGATTAAAAAAAATTACACAACTTGTGTCTTTTGCTAGCCACAGAAGTACTCTGCTCTTCTTCCTTCTTTGTGCAAGAGACAGATTGAGTGCCATCTGTACGGCTGAGACACACAAGGCTAATTTACACAAATGCTTGGCCATCATGAATGTCCTCAAAGTGCTGTGTATGGATTTATATCTGATGCTGCCATCTACTGGTGGAGATTCTGTTCTATTTGCATACTCGAATCATTTCAAAAACAGAATTATTCCCTTATTAAATTACCACGCTAATACTGTACCTCTGTGTTTTACCTTTTCGTACACTCCCCTGACATGTGCGGTGTGTATTTATGCCGACACGATGCACACAGGCAAGCGCACACATGTCCTCAAAAGAGAGTTTCCCCCCCCCCCTCCTTTGTCAGCTCAGTGACAGCGAAGGACATTTTTCCTACTGAACGCCACCCAGAGTTCAGACCGTCAGTAGGCATCCATTAAAAGGTCTGATCTGTAATGAGTGCCTGTCGGAGTCTGCGTCTCCAACAGCCACGTCCATGCCAGGCCTGGTAATCACAGAGGTTTCTCCAGCTGGAAAGTGGACAGAAAGACCCTGGGAGGGAGATGAAAGACAATTTGAGAAATGCAAGCGATGTCTAGATCTTATCTGCACTGTGTAAGAACAAAGCCAGAGACAGACTCTGAACTCCAACACAGAGCACGGTAATTTAAAGATGAAAACGTCTATATCTCCATCTTAAGAACTTTTGATCTGGCTTCTGAGCCTGCTTGTTAGGACAGTGTGTCATTGGGTTGCACTGGAGGAGTCTTACTTATTAATTGCACCATTGTACACAGGGTTTAGCATCATTAGCATCGTTATTATTTATTTTGTTGCTTACTGTTACCTTAACCATGCACGGTTCACAAACACGCACACACAATAAAGCTATAGTTACGACTGTTTGTGAATGGGAGCTGCGTGTGTGTGTGTGTGTATTTGCGTGTTTGTGTGCACTTTTCTAAGTGCTCTACAGTCATTGTTCAAGTCAACGTTGAATGTCTAAGCTAAAGGAGAAAATTACCCAAAGTAATTTACAATGTATGCATCATTATGCCTTTTTACTTTTGACAATTAGGAATGTCCTGTTTTATTCCATCCACACCTAGACTGATTGCCACAGCAGGTCAGGACTTATTTTCCCAATAGATGGTTATTAATATCCGGCTCAATATTAAACCAGGATATTAGTCTTTATCGCAACTCCTGCATACTGAGAAAGAAGGCTTAACACTGTTGATGAAAGCCTATGAGATCTTGAAATATAATTTTATTTTCTCTTGTGTTTTGTCTCTGTTCCTATGCTACCCCTCTTTCTCCTCCTCCTCCAGTGGCCCCCAGCACAGATGACGTAGCTCTGTACGTGGGTATTGTCATAGCCGTGATCATGTGCCTGGTCATCTCCGTCGTCGTGGCGCTCTTCATCTACAGAAAGAACCACCGGGACTTCGACTCTGACATCATCGATTCCTCTGCCCTGAACGGCGGCTTCCAGCCAGTCAGCATCAAGACGGCCCGTAAAGGTGTGGTACAGGAGAGATAAGACGTAACATGTGTTCGCCTGCTTGTTGAGGTTTGAGTGGCTTTAACATTGTGAGTCAGCTCGTGAACACCTGATCCCACTAGGGCTGGGCAATAAAACAATATTAATAACTATTGCAATATAATAGTAATCAATAGCAATATAACAAAGGTCTCATAAATATTGATTTATGACGATATGATGATGCATCGTGCTAACACAGCAAGGTGGAATAAAACATGGGTGATCTATCTCAGATTTGTAAAGTGTTTGAAACCACAAGCGTCTGCTCCTAGCTGGGCATCATTTGAAAATTTCAGATACTGGATCCTGAGAAAAAAGATGCAAAAATAGTTTTTAAACATCTTTCTCTAAAAAGCCTTGTTTACACTAAAAAAGCAAAACTTGCACAGTTAAACAAAAATCTTTTATCAAGCAGTTGGGAAATTTGCCTAAACAAAATAATCTAAAATAATTAAATGTATGATTCATATCTGATTGAAGAACATAGAGAGTAGATGACCAATCTGTCCATACATAGGACCTTTTCCTGTTTTCAATGTTTAGTGTTGAAAACAGTTTTCAGTCTGCCCTCATTGGAAACTTCACTTGAGCATCCATAGCATTAACCTGATGAGACATGTTTGACTCAGCGGCTCTGGCAGCACATGTGTGAATGTGATTGTGCGTCTGTGGCTGTAGAGGACCTGGGAGTCTGTGAGAGAAACATAGGAAGCATGCTCGTGCGTCAATACTATTGAAATGCACGTCTTTGTGATGCCTATGCACCGTAATTAAGCCGTAATAAGGCCACTCTGTATGTCGCATATTAAACTGTAATTAGATTTGGGGTGATGATGCGGGACTTAAAAGTGAGACCGCAGGGAAGAGGAGAGGTGGCAGTGAACTGGGCTACAAGACAGCAGGGAAACACAGATCACAGTGACTGTGTTGTAAATAGAGTGGGGACTGGGAAATGGCAAAAAAGAATTAAAAAATATACAGATAGAAGAGAAAACCATCAAATTCAAAAGGATGCTTGCTGTGAATAAAAACTTGGGTGGCAAACGTTCAGTTGGGATTTAAAACCAAAGTCTTTCATAGTTTTGTCTCGTTCTCTCGTTGTTCTTGTCAAACTGTGAATAATTGACATCAAAGAAATTTGCCAATCCAGCACCAAGCCAAATAATAAATGTTTAGTTTTTATCTATTTATACTAATATACTGTATACTAGTATACACATTTTGCAAATTGATGGTAGCCAAAACAATATGCAAACATCAGATGACTTGAAACAGGATCTGAATATATATCAAACCCCATGTAGTGTAAACAAGGTGGTTGTGGTTATAGATGGAAAAAATGACTTCTAACTTCTCCAATGAGAAGAACACAAACAAACATAACGACCATGACAGCTACTATAACCAGTGCAGTACTACCGGCAGTGATGGAGAAGACAGTGACTCATTATTGTCCTCTCTCACCTTCCAACAACTTTTTTGCTACTTTCATTGAGATCAGCATCATTTAGAAAGTCAGTGTTGTCTTAGAGCAGCGACGGCTCTGGAGGCAGCGGAGAAGCTGGAGGACGGAGAGCTCCCGCTGCCCTCGCTCCACCCACTCAGTCCAGCTATTGAACATTCCGACTCGTACCTACCGGGTAAACCGAGTGTTAGCGACGCCATCTGTCACTGATGAATCACAGCTGCGCCCATACCTTCGCCAACTGACTGATTTTTCTGGGTGCTGAAGTGGACTTCCCTAAAGAGTGAAAAACAAAATGAGTAAAGCCAGCCTGCCTTCTTGCTGATTGCTGCCAACACTTAATTTCCTCATGGTTATTTTGGTTTCAAGTTATCTGCATTTTACAGAATAAGTGCGTGATCACTAGAACATTTGCTCTGCTTGACTGATGTCCATTTTCTTTTCCAGCTGAGCTCCTGACAGCGCCACCTGACCTGACCTCGGCAGCTGCCATGTACCGCGGCCCTGTCTATGCCCTCCATGATGTGGCCGACAAAATCCCCATGACCAACTCCCCTCTGCTCGACCCGCTCCCCAACCTGAAGATTAAGGTGTACAACTCCTCGGGCTTAGTGACTCCACAGGACGACCTGGGAGGGGAGTTCTCCTCCAAACTGTCTCCTAAGCTGCCGCACTGCCTCCTGGACAACAGCGACAGCACGATGGGTCGTCGTACGCAGACCCAGACACTGCTCCGCACCAGGGATCCATCCTGCACCGCTCTGGGCTCCTTCAGCTCCCAGGGGGGACACCTCATTGTGCCCAACTCAGGTACGCTACCAGACAATGAGAGGAATCGTTTTTGCATTTGTGTGTTTTTGTGGTGTCATTCGGTTCATATTCATATTTTTAAACAGGCAACCCGGTTGCACGTCTGAAAATATGCAGAAAAAGAACATAGTTGAACAAAGGAATAAATGAGTTGTGATTCATGGAAGAGGGATCTGCGAGTTCCTGCACATTCTCTCGTAGTTCATCTTAAAACTCATTAGCTGTCTTTTGTCTGTTGTAAATGGAGCCGCAGGTTCTCATTTTCTCTGTGGCTCCACATTACATGTAAGGATATGTCATTGTGTGTGAGTAAGAAGGAGCCAGACGGAGTGTGTGAGTGTACTTCTGTCTTTGTGAGGACCGTTTTCAGTCCGACCTCACAGAGTGAGGTCAATTTAGAGAAGTTCAAACATTTAGATTGTTCCTGACATTTTCTTATTGCTGTTAAGGTTCAGATTACAATTTGTTTAAGGTTATATATTATTGGTAGGTTATATATTATTGGTATTTAGTTGGTTTTTAGTAAGGTGAAGGGTCATACAAAGGGCTAGGGATTATTTCTTTTGCCAAAGACGTTATATCTCCTGTGTTTGTTTATCAGCAGAATTATGCAAAAACTAGCAAACACATTTCCGTTAAACATAGCGGGAGGGTGGAACATGGCCAGAGAAAACAAAACCTCCAGGTGCAGATCCAGGAATTCCGTTTTAATTTTTCATATTATTTTTTACTTTCACATTTTCACCAATTATGGGAATAATTCATCAATCCTTATGAAAAATCAGGCATGTTTAGGAGGCTGATATTTCTGCGGGTGTGTAATTTGCTGTGGTTCCAAATAAAAATCCAAATTTGGTGAATTTATATGTGATTTATAAGGGGACTGTTTGTGGAGGTATGCACTCCACTAAGTGCAATTCCAGTTCAGAATCATTTCCATGTTGTAGCATGACATGGAGAATCCATCATCCAGGATTTCTTCATTCATCACAGGCTGCTGATCATGTTCTAAAGATCCCAGGGAATTTCCACACTATTTCTTGGCCAGGTCCAATAACGTCTTATACCACGTTTAAAAACAACAGGAGCAGCAGATGAATCAGCACATTAAGTACATATAAATAAAGGAGTAGTGGGGCAAAATCAATACAGATAAAAATAAATGAACAGAATCTTAGAATGCAAGGTGAAAAAAATGAAGGTGACTAAAAGATTGATTTAAAATCTATCAATAGAAGAAAAGGTAAAAAGTTCACGTGGAGACTGGAGCCTGGAAGCAGCAACAGAAAACCTGGTGCCAATAACCTGGTCACCTTTGCTGTTAAAGCGTGAATAGGTCAGGGTCAACACCACATGCAGGGAATTACAATAATCCAGCCAAGCGGTAATAAAAGCATGGATGACTGTTCCTGCCCTTCACAACACTGCCTACCTTTTTGTAGAAGATTTAGTTTGTTTGGTCGGTTTGTATTCTGTTTCCTGTTCAGTAAATAATGGAGATATGGACAGATTACAGCTTTAAAGAGTTTTGCTTTACTGAAAAACACCTTTTAAGTATCATATGTCAAAAAAGCAGATACAATAATAAACAGAATAACTTTTATCAAAACACAGGTTAATGTGCCAAAACACGCTTCAGGATTTCAGTGCATGGAATAAAATCCAATATTGAATGTGTAAACTCAGATGTGAGTGCATGTATGAGATCTGCTCTACCATGTCCACCAGGGTAACCGTTAACGCACAGAGACACGGCTTCGAAACAATACGCCAAACCATATGTGAGCTATCAACGTATTGACCGCCAACAGAACGAGCTGATGGATTCCTTTAGGTGTGTGTGTGCACCACCAGCGCTCGAGAAGAGGTGTACTGTTTCAGTCGGCTTACATTAGCCACACTATCCTCACATCAAAACCACGCAGGCTGCTTTATAACACGCCACAGATGCGTGTTGACAGGCTCAGACAAACTCGCAGCGACATTAAAGGATACACCGACTTCTTAGGTTTCTTTCGTTTTTTCCTTCTATTTTTTTTTTTAATTCTAGTAAAAAAAAAATGTTCTCAGCTGCTGCTTGTGCTCGGCCACCTCATCATGTTACATAGGGAGAGGAAAGAGCGCATTTGATATTTGATCTGTTCTATGTGTCTGGGTAATGAAATATTTGGTGGCAGTGTCAGTGCGGCTGTTTGGTATTTTGCATTTTAAAATGCATTTCCGATCTCTTTGAAGCCTCGCTGTGAGGGAGAGTGGCAGCGTGCGAGACGTCCCCGGTGCAGAGTTGTGATGTTGCTACCTAGCAAGAGAATGTGTCTGTTACCTTCTGAAAACTTCAGTACAAGGACATGGGAAATCAATGAGCGGATCTGAGAAACCCCCTCCAGACAGGAAACTGTGTGTGTGTGTGCATGAGGGAATGTGGGGGGTGCGGTCCTAAAAAACATATCGGACAAGACATATCAAATCAATCTGAGATGGAAGAATGTAAATCACTCTATCTGTAGCAATATGAGGATTCTGTGACGAGTAGTGAGAGCATTGATTTTAGAAATGAAATGTCACATCGTCTCCCGGTGCCACGGGGAACAGGCAGTAAAGTGCCAGAGTTTTTATGTGTGGGACTGAGGGGAGTTTGGATTATTACTGTTTTTCTCTAAGAAAAATAATTATCACTTCTCACTGGGGCTTTAACTGCTCTTTACTGGTGTCGTACTACATTAACATATGCACGTCACATGAAACATTAAAGCATTAAAGACCTTTTATGTTGAGTATCTCAGTGGGTTTGTAACTGAGATTCACCATGTGAGCCTTGGGGTCCAATTGTTGGAGAGCACTTTCCCTTTTTACTCGAAATAAATAATTACCTCCATGGAGAAGGTTTTGTTTTTAGTCCTGTAATGCAAAAACTACAAGACAGATTAACACGGAACTTGGTTTAAGGATGCATGGGTCAGGGAAGAACTCATTGAATTTGGTGTGGATCAGTTTTTCGATAGATTTATTGATTATTTTGTTGTCTCAGAGTATAATTCATGGATCTATTTGAATAAACACATGCAGGTTAAGGGGACAGATGTTTATGAGTGTGTGCAATTTGGTGCAGATCCAAATGATTTCACAAGGGGACTGTTGGTGTCATTCTAGTATTTATAATATATCATACAGATATCAGAATTCTTGTTATTGACAGGTATTTACAGCACAAGAAGCAATGAAGACTTCTTGAGTCTACCTGACATTTCACAACTCTTATATCACCCAGTTTTTTTTCTTACATCTGCTTGTTTGTGTCTCTCTGTTTTTGTTCTCCCCAGGGGTGAGTCTACTAATTCCAGCGGGGGCCATTCCTCAGGGCAGAGTATATGAGATGTATGTGACGGTTCAGAGGAAGGACAACATGAGGTACGCAGCGCCGCCTGCCACATCCACGCCCCAGAGCCGTGTTTACCCCTGTCAGCTCTTGCACATGCCGAGGCTGCTGTCACATCATCACTAAACGGCATCATATCCTGTGTGCCGCGTGTGCATGTGTAAGTGTGTTATTCTCTGTGCACCTCCAGGCCCTCGGTGGATGATGGTCAAACTGTGCTGAGCCCCGTGGTGAGCTGCGGGCCACCTGGGGCCCTGTTGACTCGGCCCGTCATCATCACCATGCACCACTGCGCCGTGTTTGACGGCCAGCAGGATTGGCTGATCCAGCTCAAGAACCAGTCGCCGCACAACCAGTGGGAGGTGAGATTTGGGATGCAGGATGAAAACTGTGCAGAAAGACTCCAGTGTCTATCACCATAAATCAGAAACTTCATATATTTAATAATCCACGCAGCATTTGATTCTACTCTGCAAAGATATTGTGAAAAGGAAACCCCTTTTGTAGCAGGTCCTAGAACAGTAAACCTCTGATAGCAGGGGAAGGGCTGGGACTGTTTTTTCCCCAGGACTGTTTTATGAATGCCTATTTTTGTTTGTGTGTATCTGTCTGTGTTTGGAAGCCTAGTGCCTGCAGGCTCCATAGTTAACAGGGCTGATGATGATAAGTTGAGTTGCTGAGGGCAGCGGTGTTACTTTGCCCTCTCTCCCTCCCTTATTCCCTTTTCACAGATAGAGACGCACACACAGAAACAGACCAATCACCACGAGGAGATAATTTGTAGAGAAAGCATGCCGCCACCTTTATTACAAAAACAGCTTTAGACTTGTTAGAAATGGTCCAGCCCTCATCTTCCTCTCCAAAAGTGTCCATCAGTAGAAGACCCCAGATAATAACAAGACAAACCTTATTGTAGGCAGTTTCTGGCAACTTCATTTCACTCGTCAAGAGAGCCTTGCAGAATACGGTTTTACTTCAATGTGGATTTTAATGAATTTCTTACAGGCAGGAGTTTGTTGAGACCTTTTTAAAAGGAAAGGTGCTGAAAATATAAATATGGAGAAATGAAACGTAATGATTTGCATAGGAGCCCAAGCAGAATGAAAAGCAGTAGAGAAACGATGCAGAGCCCATGAACATATCTTCACGTCTGCAAAGGGGATTATGTTTTCACCCCGTTTCTGTTTGTTGATTTGTTTGAAAGATTATACAGAAAAAAACCCAACAGATTTCCACAACACTTGTGGAATGATGTGATACAGGTCAGGGAAAAAACAATGACATTTTGGTGTGGACACCAATTTTGGGTAAAATGTGTTGCAGCAGCATTGAATTAAAGGGGACTGGTGGGTAGAGGTATGAATTCTACTGATTGCCATTCTAGTTCTCCTGAGAATTGGGATTTAAGTCTGTATACTGTGGGATTATGGCCTAAATGATGAGGTAAAAATTTAAAGAGGCCTTTATTTGTTGAGGATATCTGGCAAAATGCACTGGCTGCAATCAATTCAGAAGTAAAGACCAATCACATATTGAAAATCCAGCTAGTTAACAATGGGCTTTGGCCAATATATGGTCTTGTAGCTTGAATATAATCATTCTTGGGAAGTATTTGCACTATCTCCACTGCCGATGTGATGATATGACTTATGGTGCAGGAGGAGCTGCCAGACAGGCCCCACATACCTTTTGTGACATTGATGAATTACTCGGGGGCAGCCAATAAAGCTTGGTGTAAACTAAATAATTTTCAGGAAGAAATAACTATTGATTACATCTCTGACCTGTCAGAAACGGAGACGGCAATATCCAAGGTGACGGTAGCTTCCTTTATATGAGGTCCTCTCACCGCCGGGGGCCAGCCTTCATGGCATACGTGTGACACATCATTGCGTGTGACATGCTCCATCAAAACATGTATTCATCAGTGCGGGGGAAATGGGAGAAATGAGCTCCTCCGAAGTAATTCATGGATATTATAGTCATCAAGGAACACATGCACACGAGGTGTCGTTCAGAAAACATGGCACTGCGATGATGATGAAGACAGGAGGTCAAATAATGAGGAACATGTGGGACTTTCCGCTTCAGTAACTCCAAACAGAGATTTATCCTCCTGCGCCTATGAGGAAAAAAAAAATCAGCTGATGACGGCAGTCAGAAATTTGTGAATACATTACGCTGTGTGTGAGCATATGTGTGTTTGTGTCGGTGTGAAAGCTTACTTTTCCACTGTGTTTTGTAATTATCCCCCCAATAAGGAGCCCCAGTGCCATTTCCCCAGGAGCAGTTAAAGAGTCTAATGATAAGCCATAATACTGCTGTTAAACGGCCTAGCTCACAATAAAATACTGTAATTCCTCTTCTGTCTCTCATAATAGGCTGAATTAATGCCAATGCGCTGCTCACAGGAGTGTTTGGATTAGAGAGGGGGAAGACGCAGAGCGAGCGAGGGCGAGAGGAAGCAAGATCAAGAGAGATGGAGAGAGAGAGAGAGGGTCATATGAGCCCCCACCGACCCGACAGTCTTAATTAAAGAGAAATATGTTCCGACTTTAGTGCTTTTTACAGGGGTCAACTGCAAATGGCCTTGTTACTCACTCTTCCATTACCTCACATACACGATGGCACAGTGTCAGACATTAGTAATACACACATACTACGTGTAATATCTAAGGGACACAGCTTATGTGAGAAGGCCACGACCCCTGATTGTATTTTCTCTGTTACAGCGACATTTGAATTCATTTCACTTTTGATTCCCTGAATTGAAAAAAGCTACATAAACCAGTATTTTTTTAATCACACAACATCAGCCAGAAAGCTACTGATTTCCCCGTAGAGCTAGGACTGGTAAGTTGTTTCTGAACCACTGTTTTATCTCATCTGTTGAAATCCTCTTCACGTCGTAATAGCGATCTATAAATACATAAAAGAAAAAGACTGTGACTCTTGCAGGACTGTATGAAACATGACCAAGGATTCACTGGCGTCCCTGAAGCAGAAATGAAAGCCAGAAGTTAGCAAGCTCAGAAAAGTCGTCTTCTCGTAGTTTATGTGTTTTGGGGGCGTAGCTTTTACCAATAGAGCCAATAGGATGGGATGTATTTTGCTTTAGTTTAACATGCTCTTGCAAATGTTCCCAGGATTACCAACCCTAGCTTTAAAGATTTCCAAATCACTAGATCAATTTTATCAACAAAAACCCATCATCTTTCATTCTGCTCTGTGTCAAAATATGTGTGAGGTTGTAGGAGATTGTAAGTCTCTGACACTAAAACTGCTAATTAAACCAAATTTTCTGTGTCTGATCATCTCCACTGAATCGTTAATACATGAAAATACCCTTTTTTGTAGTGTTTTATATTGAAATCCCATTGCTAGGAATGAAATTTGATTGATTTGCACAACAAAAGTTTGATGGGATTCAGAAAGTAGCAGTGAATTCAGATTTAACTCTCTTGGACTGCTCGTCCAACTTCAACCTTCTTGCCAACAAATGTAAGACCTACATAGAAACGTAGGTGGGCCAGAGCCAGAATGACAGATTTGGTCTGTTTAAAGATTCTATTAATCATGTTCTTGTTTGTTTTTATCTTTTTCCACTTCATAGTGGCATTTTTCCAGCACAATTATGACAAAACCCTATTTCTGGCTCTTTAAGCGCTTTATCACCCACACTGTGTCTCTCTCTCTCTCTCTCTTTCTTTCTCTCTCTCTCTCTCTCTGTCCGTTCCGTAGGATGTGGTCGTGGTCGGGGAAGAAAACTTCACCACGCCGTGCTACATCCAGATGGATGACGAGGCCTGCCACATCCTGACGGAGACGCTGGGCACCTACTGCCTCGTGGGCCAAACTCTCAGTGCCGCCACCATCAAGCGCCTCAAGCTCGCCATCTTCGGCCCTGTCACCTGCCCCGGCATGGAGTATCACATCAGAGTGTACTGCCTGGACGACACGCAGGACTCACTCAAGGTAACTGTGTGGAGGTTGTGCAGCAGAGTTTGGATGTGTTTGCGTTAATTATGTTTTTTGAGTTTGTGGTTTTGGCTGAATTGTTAATGTTTGCGTGTAGGCACAGTGAGCAGATGAGGTGTGGGAGGTTGAATGACAAATCTTTTGTGTTGCCGTCGCACAATGAGGGGAGAGAGGAGCTTGCATTTGAATAGCTGCTCCTGCTAGAAAGATGTGCGCTAACACAAAATAAGCCAAATTTATCCTCCTGTACTGCACTGTTGTCTCCACACCTCACTTCTGTTTAATACCTCCATCTACCTACGTGGCGGAAAGATAAGGAAGGATTATTATAGCGAGCAGGGATATTGAACACGGTTATTAAGTTTGGGTATGGGTAATGAGAAGTGATAGTGATCCTGCTGCAAGGACACTGAAGCTGCTTTCAGATGGCAGATCCAGATTCCAGCTTATAAAGGCCTGAAGGAAAGTGAAAATTTGCATTTGAGCATTTGCAAGAAACAAAATGTAAATTAAGTTATAGCAGGACAGAAGTAGAAAAGTAAAAGTTGTTTTGAATCAAGTGTGTGTTTGTGTGTTTGTGTGTTCAGGAGGTCCTGCAGATGGAGAAGCAGATGGGCGGGAAGCTGCTGGATGAACCAAAGACTCTCAACTTTAAAGACAGCACTCACAATCTGAGACTCTCCATCCACGACGTCCCCCACACACTGTGGAAGAGCAAGCTGCTGGCCAAGTATCAGGTAAATATGCTCCTTCAAAATAAGGTTTTAAACAGTGACACACACTCCCCAAGCAGCCAAGTAACCTCCTCTACCTTCTTGGCGTGATTGTTGTAGGAGCTCTCCTTCCAGCAAGTGTGGAGCGGCTCACAGAGGAACCTCCACTGTTGCTTCACCCTGGAGCGGTTCTCCTCCTGCACGGTGGACCTGGCCTGTAAGATTTGCGTGCGGCAAGTGGAGGGAGAAGGACAGATTTTTCAGCTGGACACTACCCTGTCAGAGGTAAGGTCTTGCACTTAGCTCTTTGTCTGTCCTAAAGCTAAACGATAGAAAAACAACTTCATCAATTTGGCGACATGCGCTGAAAAAAGTCACAACACATGCAAATATAGAAACATGCCTGCCAGTAGCGAAACACGACACCGGTAACGTTTCCAGACCCAAAAAAGTGATGAACCTGGCTGTGGTCCAATGCTTGGTGAAGTTATTGAAGTCTGCTACTCGCCAGTGGTGATGGAACTTCACGAAGCACTGAACTACAGTGAAGATGTTTTCTGAGTTTGCATGTGTTGTATCACTTAAGTCTTCAAAGATTATTTTGACCTTTGAACCCTCTTGTCACCTCAATGTTGCATTCAGAGATGCAACACTTCATCCTGTGTTGTGAGAGCTATAGGAGTGAATTCTCCAACACTCCCATGTGCTATTCGCTCTTTTTGCACTGTTCACAAAAGTCGTTTTCAGACACAAACCCAATTGTCTTTCACAAATGAAGAACACAGCAGGAGATTCAAAGTCAGACGTGTTCACATCGAACAAAAAGCATTCAGACGAGGTGTGGTGTCTTGGTAGAGCAAGCAGGAGGAGGCAGGGCATGACGTATAAATTCTGCTGCGGAAATTGCGTGTTTTTATTTACGGCCCGTCGACACCAAAGAGACCCTTATCTCCAAAAGCTCTCAAATCCTGTTGTCTTTCAAAGTTGACATCTTTCTCAGAGTATTCTTCGTGTATGGCTCCTCTTTTCTATCCTGAGATATTTGTATTCTTTTGTTGTTTTGTCCTCAGTCTTCGATCTGTCTCTCTCTGTTAGAAATGCCATCAATGTGGCCAATCGCTCACTGTGAATTCACAGGACATCATCATCCTGTATTCTCACTCGGACAGAAAGAAGTGACTCGGACATTACGTTCTCAAATGTAGCCCCTCCGGGTTAGGTTAGGTTAGGTTCAGGAGAATATCCAGAGTTCAGTGCGTGTCTGAAAGCAGCTAAAGACCAACAGGGTGGAAGATAGGAAGTCTCGACCCTGCAGCCCTCATGCAGGTCTGCAAATGCCAGACCAGTGAGGAGCGGAGGGGGAATAATCACCCGCCAGTCGTGCTGTTCTTGCTTCACAAAGGCCATCTGGCCAGGAGAATAGAGCTTGAGGGATGGTGGAGCACTCTGGCTTTGTGCTCGGTAATGAGATGAATTACAGTACATGCAGCGCGGAGCTGTGTCCCCGCCTGGCCTCGGTTCATTTGTCTCCGGGTCTTGCTCTCGTCTCTGTAGCCACACCTGCAGCACTTAATCCTGCAGATGCAACATATTTGAGAATCACTCAGCTCGCATCAATAAATAGATATGAGTGAAATTTGTGGGGGTTTTTTTGCTATTTTTTTTATAGAACCCAGAAGCAGAAATCTGCTGTGCAACAAATCCATTTGTGCTTCATTATGTTTGGTTTTGTTCAACGATGTTAAATTCTCCTCATGCCGCCTGTAGCCTGAAGAGATGCCACTGCTACAGCCCATGTTTCTCCTTCAACCTCTCTCTCTCTTTGTCTTGAAGGATTCCCAGAGTATTGACACGTCCCTGCTGGACCCCGCCAGTAACATCACCACGCTCATTGGGCCCAACGCCTTCCGCATCCCCGTGTCCATCCGGCAGAAGCTGTGTGGCAGCCTGGACGCACCACAGACCAGGGGCAACGACTGGAGGATGTTGGCCCACAAACTTAATCTTGACAGGTGGGTTAGAGAAAGAGCCCGAGAGAGAAGAGGAGTGAGACAGTGACTCAGACTTAAGCCCCTTAGTGGTCACGGCTTGGCCACAAGAACTGTCACTTGGCTCTCTCATGTTTTCAAGAAGGGTAAATGAAAGAGAGGAAATGAGAAAACGAGGAAACGAGGGTGATTTGTTATACAAAAATACTCATCGTCTTGATGTCGATGTGAATTTTAAGTGGCTTTTTTTCTTTGTTTCATTAGGAGGCGAAACATGGGAAATAAAACTGTAGATAACTAATCTCCTTTTATTTGATTGTTCTTCAGGAATGTGACTCATTCAGATAAGCATCTGTTGAATTGAGATTAATTGAACTGGACGGAACTGAGGCAGAGGGAGAGAGAGGAAGATGGAACAAAACGCTCCGCTTTTCAAAAACGTCACTCGTGTGTCTTTGATAGTGTGTGTGTGTGTGTGACGGTGGTTCAGCGTGTGTCCGTTTATAAGGTCCCAGCTCAGTGGGGCGGCCTTATCACAAGCAGCAGCTGCAGATTGACGAGACCACTGACAGCGTGGTGTGAATGAAGGGAGAGACAGGGGAGAGAGAGCCGCCCGATTCAAGCTCATTCACAGCACACGGATGATTCACACAGAACAGAAGTTTACTCATTATTCGGCTCATTATTTTTCCGTTTGAATGTTCAAAACAACGAGAATTCAAGTGTTTGTTTTCATGAACTCGATTATACATTAAAAAACACCAGTGTGAAAAATAGGATTTTAGAAATATCAACTGCAGCGTGAGCACTAGTTTGTGTTTATTACCCAAAGGGACAGCTGCTCAATTGCATTTTTTTCTCTTGTACTTCTACTTTTAGGGGATCAGATGAAAAAGAAAGTTGATGACCATTGATTCTCAAACCACAAACAAACATAAGGATATAACGTACAGCCGTGCTCTTTAATATACTTTTTCCTGTTGTGACGAGAGTTGTATTGACACTTTTGAACAAGGCTTGGGTCATTTTTTCGGGTCATTTTCTCGACACCCGTCGTTGTTGCTGCACAATGAAAACATTTATTTTCAAGGATGGTCAATGCATATTGTGCTGAGTATTTTCCCACTTGAATAAATAGAAAATATTAAGTGTCTCTTTTCTATCGAGGCTCTCCTGTGTGCCAGTGCATCTGAGGCTTTTTATTCATCTCTCCAAACTTTGATCAGTCGTCACTTGCACTCAAAGATGAACTGATTGGAGTTCAGGTTAGAGGTCATTCTAGTTCTTTCATTCGGCATGAGCGCAATGCATGATGGTACGTAGTGCTTGGTTAGAGACCTTCGGTTCTTAACTACTTTTCACGATGCATTGTGGGATACAATGAGTCCACTATATAGGGTATAAAAATTCTCACTTCACATCAGTATACAGTGAGAAGAGAGTGATTTCAGCCACAGCCTCAGTTATCTTTTCATTCAAGACAGAAGCTTAGTGACCACAGAGAGACATGGAAAGACACCGGTCCTCTACAGATGGGGTCAGCTGCTCTGTCCTCATTCCTCTCTGATAACCATCCACCTTACTGTTTCCTAACCTATCCATCTCTGTTCTGTCACTTTCTTTCTTGCAGGTATCTCAACTACTTCGCCACCAAATCCAGTCCTACGGGAGTGATCCTGGATTTGTGGGAAGCCCAGCATTTCCCAGATGGCAATCTCAGTCGCCTCGCTCAGGTACTGGAGGAGATGGGACGTCATGACAGCCTTGTTCCCACAGTGACTGAGCACTGACATCTGCCCACCAGGGACTGTGAAATTCCAGGGAGGAAGAAGACATAAACAGAAAATAAGGGTGGGGGGACGCCTGAAAGCAGGAGAGAATCATATTGGCATCGCGGTAACAAATGCATGCACACGCTCTCAGACACTGTGTGTGTGTGTGTGTGTGTGTGTGTACACTCAAAGAAGATAAAACAGCTAGGTCTACTCAGCCATGACCCAGTTAAACATTGGCAACAAAGGGTGTAAAAACTTGGAAGGGTAAACAAGAATCTGTGCCAGTCATTTTTCTCTGGCTGTTCCTCTCGCTGGTAGAACAACTCGATATTTTTGGCTCTCGTATCGTTAGAAACCGTCGTCCGGGTGATGCACCGGCCGACAGTCTGACACACGACCCGAGGTCAAAGGATACAAGGAGCAGACGGCTCAGATCAAACGAAGCATCTCTCGCTCTCCGTAAACCGGTCTCCATAGCAACTCCAAGGAGTATGTGTTCTGTGATAACATTGTATTTAATAATATGTCTATTTATACATATCTTTTTTTTTTTGTATTTTATGCTGCCTGTTAGGGAATACTTTGTAGTGTCCTCACATTATTTTTTAAATTTCTTTTTTCCATTATGTTTGACTGTATCATAGCACCCCCTGGTGGACTCTGGCAGTAACGACTCATCCTGCCAGCCACATTTTCCATGTACAGAAGGAAGTCGATGATGTAACCGTTTTACCATTTTAGTGTTGCTGTTGTAACTAATATTAATTAATTATTCACGTTATGTATAATTATTGATTTTTTTTAAGTATGTGTACATCTTTTTATTTGCAAGTCTTTAAAAATATCTTCTTTAAGTTGAATTAGATTTTTTAAAATTTTATTTACATTCTCTGTTTTTATTTTTCTTTGTTGTTGTTTTAAATCAGGTCATTTGAAAGATTCAACCAGTCTATCACCCGTTAATAGAAGCCAATCAACATCACATTCCCTAACGGACTCTAACTCACGACTGACGGTGACGATATGTTTGTTGTTCAAGTGACATGAACGAGACCAGGCAGAGGTGATAGGTGGAAACTGTGGAGAGGGGAATCAAAAAAGTATATTTTTGTAGGACCAATGCAACTGAATACAACTGCTTTGTACCAAAAACTTGACATACAGTGTGTGAGATTAAATTTAATACACAAGGTGATCATCTAAATGTCCAACTGTCATTTCAAAAAGAGACGTTTTCCACCTTCATGTGCAGTTTTGGACGAGATCGGAGATCTGCACTTGGATTTCTGTGGTTGTACATTAATGACGGAAGCCATCGATATTACGACACTGACTCTGTGCATAAAAAAATTGCTGTAAATGCAACATTCCTTCGATTCAGCAGCACTCGTGATTGTCCAAGTGGTCTTAATTGATTTTTTTGAATGGCAATTGTCCCAGTTTTCGTTAAAAAAAAAAAAAAAAAAAAAAGTCTATGCAAACTCTGCATCTTTTTGAAACGATCCCTCGATCTCAGTGGGCTACGGCCGTTGCATTCCCCAGTTGTCCTTCAGCTTCATGAGTAATATTGTGTAATAGTGAGAATGTAGCCTGTCTATCTTTGGCACTCACCATGTCCTTCGCAACTGCTTGCATCTCATCTGTCGAGTTATTGTACAAAGTGTAAGAAAGAATTTTTAAGACTAATAATAAATTATATTTATATGCAACATTGGAAAGGAAGCGCCAGGAGCTGTTTTGTTTGAATTGTGAGAGTAAGACACACAGAGTGCCTTCGAGACACAGTCGTTTTATTAGGGAATGTTCTCCCGGTCCACTCGTACACTCTCCTAATCACATATGTACAGATTAAATAAGGCACATGCCGCAGTGGTAGAGTGGACGGGACGTATTCTGTACACACACATCATCAGAAACATAGTTTAACATCCGGCAAGGTGATAATTAGTAATAGATTCCAGCTCATCAACTTACAAATGAATTGTGAGTGGAAAGAAGTAGCCAGTATTTTAGCAATATTATTTGTGTGTCTGTGGGGAGAGTTGTGTATCTGTATCTCAATCCGTGTGAGCAGAATCAGATTTGTACACGTCTAAAAGAATCCACAAATGTGTGTTGAGATTTGTTAATGCAAACAGGAATATTAAAAAAAAACATGCTGAATACGTACATTGAAAGCGATGACTTGTCTCTTGGAGCAAAACACTTTTTCAGGTGTAAGCATCTTTAAATGTATTTATAGATTTATCACAGATCTATACACACATTTGCAGATTTGTCCACATGTGTGTAAATCTCAATATACATATACAGATTATTTTTACACGTTTACAAATCTGATAATGCACAAGCAGATTGAGATACAGTTACACAACTCTCCAAAGACACACTCACAAATGCAGTGCTACAATATGAGCACCATAGAGACAATGAGGAAGGACGAGGCCCAAGTCTGAGCTCTGGAGGCTGGAAGAATCACAAATCCATCAGTGATGTCACACTTTTTACCCACTGAGCTTCTTTTAATATTGAAATAAACTGTACTTTAAAATACATTATATAATTAATTTAGTTTTACTCTGTCATAATAAAAATAATAATATATTTGACAAAGGGGGCACTGGGCATGAATCAGTCTTCTCTTGGGATGGATGACGGTCACTATGGAGGGGATTGACAGTGAAGTTGAACATCTGCTATGAGATCACAGCATGCAGTCAAAAACAACATATATGAAGGCAGCTGTGACGGTACAAAAGACTGCACATGGATTACTGCTATATGGCTTTAGAAGAGCAGAGCAGGAGCTTCCTCTGTACAAACCGATCAGAGGGATTTTCAGTAAACTCATCTGCGAGGGTCCCCGTCCGGACCCCGACGACCACTCAAGCTTTCACAGAAAGCACAACCTGAACACTTTTGTCCAAGGTTACGAAGACAACGGGACGTCAGATCTCCCCCTGACGTAATAAATCTTTCACCTCTCATTCTTCTGGCTCCCAGTCGACGATTACGTCCATCGCTCTTGTTCCCTGTCAGTTTCCTTTGTCCCATTGTTCATAGCCTCCACTTTTTTTTTCCCTTTCGTCCATTGGCCAGTGTGAGCGGAGCTGTGACACTGGCTGTGACAAGTCTCTGGGTGATGAGAGCATCTCTCTTGATTCTCTGTCACATCTTGATGTCTTGGGACTCTAACATCTTCGCCAGGGTCTTCTTCACCCTCAGGGCTGTGAGGCGAGACGCCGGGTTGTGAGCCCAGCACTCAGACATCAGCTTTCCCATCTGTCGTAGACACTGAGGACACACATATATACGCACACATAAGAATATAGGAATATGATAACAAACTTTACATACAACTAGCTGAAGTACCACCAGTTTATAAGTTGCAATAAATTACAAGTGAACTTTCAAAGGTTGAGGTCTGCCTTTCTCGATTTGGTATCGGAAAACGTTTGGAATACCTCATCACTGCTCCAGCGATTAGCGAAGGAAGGTCTTTGTTTCTTAATGCACACAACCTCCCTCATGTCCTCATAGGAGGGATCAGTGGGCACGAGGTCATGATAGGGCAGCTGATACTCCTCCACAATGCCTGCAGGAAAAAAACACATGCATCAGCGAGATCGTTAAGAAAACATCTAGACACATTAGGGTCATGTGTAAATTAAAATTAGAATTTTCAGAGTTTTTCCCCTGACCTCCAGAGATGCAACGTCGCACAATCTCCCAAACAATGAGGCCGAAACTGTACATGTCGGCCATGATGAAAGACTGGAAGTAGCTCCTGTTCAATGTCTCATCCAACACTTCAGGTGGCATGTAGCGCTTCGTGCCGACGCGGAGGTTGGGAGGGATGTCCACCTCGTTAGTGTCACTGAGACGAGGGGGGGAAACAAAAATGAGCAACAAAAAATGTCTGTATGGTTTTATTAATGTATGAGTTCAATTGACGTTCAATAATTTAAAATCAACGTTGTACCTGTTGAATTTGACAGCCAGCCCAAGGTCTGCTATGCAACAGGATCCGTTCTTTTTAACCAGGATGTTTTTACTCTTCAGGTCTCTGTGTGCGATGGCCGGTTTGCCCTGCGTGCCGTAGATCTCGGTGTGCAGGTGGCAGAGGCCTGATATGGAGGAGTAGGCCAGTTTCAGCAGAGACTTGACGTCTAACGTGTTGGACTTGAGGTAGTCGTATAATGATCCGTTCTCGTGGTAATCTGTGATCAGGTAGAGCTGAGTCCACGAGCCGGTTCCTTTAATGTCGGCAGCTATGAATCCTGGGGGTTGGAAAGAGGCGGTGAGAAGACTGAGAGATGTGTTCAGATCGATTTACACACACTTTACTCGACAGACACACACACACACACACACACACACACACACACACACATTCAGATCAACACTTCAGTCAGTCCGTGTTTTTGTCTCTCTTACCCAGGATGTTGTCATGTCTCATCAGGAAGGTCTGATAAATCTCAGTCTCTCTGAACCAGCTCTCTTCCTCTGTGGTGAAGAAGACTTTGACTGCCACTCTCTCTCCTCTCCACTTGCCCATCCACACCTCTCCGTATCGCCCTTTTCCGATCTGCTTCACCATCTGAATTTGCTTGGCGATGGTTCGCTGCACCTGGCAACACATGATTGTGAAAGAAATGGAAGTTTAATTTGCAATTTCCCTTTAAATCTCGTAGGTTACATCATGCTGTTGTTCCTCATAAACTAAGTAGCCGAGGACAAACAAAAACAGTTTTCCTGCATGTTTGGAAAGGGAAGAGTGAGTGGAGGGGTTTTCAGTTGGTTGCAATCCACAAGCTCAGCACTAGATGTCACTAGATACTACACGCTGCTCCTTTAAGGTGTTGAGGCACATGTGCACTGCTCTGTTCTTACCAGTAGAGGGAGTCCTGACCCTGAGCCAGAGCCTGTACTCCTGGAATGCTCTATGAGATCTTTAAGAGACTCCCCGGGGGGGATGTAGGTCTCGTCCTGCTCCAGGTCGATACTGTAGCGGGGCTGTGACTCCTGCCGCTTATACCTGCCACAGAGAAGTCAATCTTAAATGCACGTCAGGGACCGTGAATTTTTTGATAAGGTTCTGGTCATCGTCAAAGTTCTCACCTGAAGTAGAAGAAGACGAGGACGAGGCCGAGGATGATGGTGCAGACGGTGATTGAGATGAAGAGAGCCATGTACTGGATGCTGCTGTCCACATAATCTAAAAAGAAAAACATTGAGTATTGAATAATCCTGGTCTGAACTGATGAATAACTAGACTGACAGTCATTTGTTCATTGTTATCAAATCCAACATTAGTTTTCTAATTTTCATCAGCAGGGACAAGCTCATTTTTCCCTTCCTCCCTCTAACCCTGCCCTACACCCTCCTGTCCCAGCGTGTGATCGATCACATCCCCTTCCTGAATCCCACATATCGGGTGTCACACTGACATCGCTCCAGAACCCCCCCCCCCCCCCCCTGCCCCCCGAGGCCCAATGCAGCTCTGGGGCTCTAATCTTTCTGTCGTGCTCCTGTCAATCTCAAGCACACACAAGAACAGAGGACGCATGAGCATGGGGGGAAGACTTGCGGGTGTGCAGGGAACCACACACACACCCACACACACACACACACCCACCCACACACCCACACACACACATACACACACACATACACACAAAGGGAGAAGCACCAGTGGACAAAGAAAAACTGCACAGAGTCTTATGAGCTCCCTGCAGGCCCATTTGGACAGATAGATAGATAAACTCTGTTGATTCCATCTCTTTCTCTTTCAAACTGGTTTTAAACCAGCAACTTAAAGATTCCTGGTAGTTCCACAACAGTCCTCTGCTGTACCAACTCTGCTAAAGCTGGGGAACAACAGTCTGTATAGGTGGGGAAGAAGAGGAAAGATGAGGAACAAGGGGGAAGGAGAAAAATGATAAATCCCTTATCAATCTTTTCTCATTAAATAAGACCTGGTACTACCGCTCGCCTGATTGCTCTGGAGATTTTCCTGTTGTTGCTAAAGTGACCCAGACAATCTCCTGCTGCGTTCTACATCAGTCGGAGTCAAACTCTGGAAAATGTCTGGACCCAATCTTCAGTTTGAGTTCAGAGTTGGAGAAAAACTGAAGAATTATTTTTCTTTCTCAGATGTAAATCAGTTTATCGCTGTTTGCTTGAAGGTCATAATGAAATATGTGAGGATGTGTAAAAGTGTAATGGTGAGTGTGTGTGACAGAGACTGGGAGCAAGAGAGAGGGATTGTGATTTGTTTGTGTGTGTGTGTGTGTGTGTGTGTGTG